CGTCGCGTTGTGATGATGTCAAATGCGCGCTTTCGTCGAGCGCGATTTTGTCCTCCGCGGTTTTGTGGTGGAACCGCCTCTGACTCCCTCATTCAGCCACAAACTTTGCATAGGAAGCTGTGCCACAACTAGACCAGTCTTTGAGAGTTCACTTTTGGTTCACCTGGAAATGGAGACGTTTGCCCTGGCACACCCTTCCCCCTCCACCCCCCCAGCATGCCTTTCAGGCAGAGAAGTTTTCATGCCTGGTAATCTCACTTTATAAACATGCCCTCCCAGTGTTTATACAACTGAAATGAGATAGATACCAGGGAAAGCCTATGTAGAAAATCTCTCTCAAGAAAACCATGCTTGTTTAAAGAGCCCGAGGCTGCTCTTTAAAATGGTTGAGAAAGAAAGGCTATGCAAACATGAAAACAGTCAGATTAGAAGGATCCCTGTCTCACCTCACCATCCACCCACTCAAATAACCAGGATTAATTCTATGCCAGGCAGGTGAAATAGGAAAGAGCTGCCTAAAAGTCTTTCTGTTGGATGTCTCTGGTGCTTGATGTTTCTCAAACTGAAATAGCAATAGCACTTAGTCTTATATACCACTTCACAGTGCTTTATAGTCCTCTCTAAGCGGTTTTACAGAGTCAGCCTATTGCCCCGAACAATCTGGGTCCTCATTTTACCCACCTCGGAAAGATGGAAGGCTTAGTCAACCTTGAGCCTGGTGAGATTCAATCTGCCAAATTTCAGGCAGCCGGCAGTCAGCAGAAGTAGCCTGCAGTACTGCACTCTAACCACGCCGCCACCATGGCTCAAAGCTGCTTAAAGAATTTTTCTTTTGCATTGTCTTCTCTCAACAAAATAATTTGTGTTTAGAGATGAGGTGAGTGTATGGCGACTGAGAAAAAGGGACCTGCATCTAATAGCCAAGTTGAACTTTGAGACATGGTTCTATTTATCATTTATTTACCATCTAAATTTCTAGGGCTGCCCATTTGTCAATAATAACTGGGCAGCTTACAAGAATTAGAAAAAAAAAAAGGAAAAATAATATACTACAGGGAGTCCTTAACACAATTAATGGCCACAATTTAGATCAGAATTTCCATTGCTAAGCAAGGCTGTGTTTAAATGAATGACAACCCCTCCCCCAATTTATGAACTCTTTTGCCATGGTTGTTATGTGAATCACAAAGTTATTAAGTGAATATGGCTTCTGTCATTGACTTTGTTTGTCAGAAGCTAACTGGAAAGACTGCAAGTGGTGATCACATGACCCCAGACACAGCAACTATAGTAAATACCATATTTTTCAGAGTATAAGACGCACCAAGATTTTGAAGAGGTAAATTTTTTTTAAAAAGTTTTTGCACTCTGCCTCGTTTTTTGTGAAAAATTGGGTATGCAGAGAGTTTGAGAGGCTTGCATAGTGCTCCTGGGGTCGGGGGGGGGGCATACATGAGCAAAAAAAGACTCATTTCTGCCTTCCCCAGCCCCCAGGAGCTTTCTCAAAGCCTTCTACAGGCTCTGCACTGCCATTTTGGTGAAGGGGGCGGGGTTTTGGTAGGCCAAAAATGCTGTATTCCGTGTATAAGACGCACACAGATTTTCACCCTCGTTTTTTTTAGGGGGGGGGGAAGGTGCATCTTATACTCTGAAAAATACAGTACATGCCAGTTTGCCAGCATCCAAATTTTGATTATGTGACTGTAGGAATGCTGCAATAGTTGTAAGTGCGAGGACAGGTTATAAGTCCCACCCCCCTTTTAATACCACCAGAAGTTGAATATATCGTTTTTTAACCTTCATTTAAAAGTGGTTGTGATATGTTGCAGTGTTGTAACATTTCTAACCAGTGATTTTGTGTTAGTGTACGTGTCCAGCTCGTGCATAAAGGATAAGAAGTTTGAGGAAGTAGATTAGTGCTGCGGGTTCAGTTCACTGGCTTGTTGCTTTGGAAATCGCTTCTGGATTTTGTGCTTCTGCTTGTGATGAAAAAAAATGCAGCTTTGATTTTGGTTTTTGCTGGTGAGATGTTTGTTGTAGAAATGGCTAGTATATATTACTTTGTAAAAGTAAAAAGTTGAAGGCAATGTTATTATATTTTACTGTGCTAAAAAGAGTAAGAAGTCAATGCTTTTTTCTTTTTTATTCTTCCTCTATCTCATATTTTTTTCTTCTTTCCTTTTCCCTCCCTTAGTTTACCACTATTTTTTTATTTTCCTTTGTATTTTATTTCCTGATAGATCATAAAAATTTTCAAAGACAGTTTTGGCTTGTTGCTGCTCGCAGGAGTGGCTAAAGAAACCAAGAATTCTCTGTCGTAAAAAAAAAGAGTTACATCTTAATTTATTTGTTCATGAGCCAAAAACAAAGCCTCACTTATAGTTCTGGTATGTTAAAAGAAGAACAAACCAATTATCCTTTGAACATAATGCTAAACAAAGTGAAGGCGAACACGCTTATTACCTTAATCCTTGATTAAGGAAGCTTGGGTGGATGTAGTATGACAAATGTTTTTAAAATATTACGTATATAGCTATGGGGATGCTTTTTAGGAGATACAAGTATGTGTCCCTTTAGAAATCTTAATTTGGTTCCCCCCCCTCCAGCTTCTGTTGACAAAGAGAGATATCCTCAAATATAGTTTGGTCCCAATAGCCTGGGGTTTTCTTTTTGTCTTGAATTCTTGTCCAGTTGTTAAGTGAATCACTAGAGCTGTTAAGTTAGCCATGCAGTTGTTAGATGAATCTGACTTCCCCATTGACTTTGGTTGTCAGAAGATTGCAAAATGATCACCTGACACCCCCCACCCCACCAGGGACACTGCAGTTGTCATAAATATGAGACAGTTGCCAAGTGTCCGAATTTTGATCAGGTGACCATGCAGATGCTGCAATGGTCGTAAGTGTGAAAAAACAGTCATAAGTCACTTTTTCCAGTGCTGTTGTAACTCTGAACGGTCACTAAATGAATGGTTATAAGTCAAGGACTACCTGTATTCAGTTCACCACACCTTGTCTGAAATTATATGAAAGTCTAGCAATAGGCTTTCAGGGGCTTTTCTCATGGACTGGAATAAAATTAGAGACAAATTTCCCACTTGTGTTTGTTTGTCTTTGGGGTGTTTTTTTTGTTTTTTTTTGGTCAAGGTGTTTTGACCTGTGTGATAAAGATTCTGCCTTCAGCGCTGCAGGAGCTGGGAAATTATCACAGATGTTGGGACTTTGGTTTCGGAATCCTTTTGAGATTCTGCCGTGCACATTTGCCTTTGAAAGAATTCAGAAGGCAGGCAGAGCAGAGCTTTGAGGCAAGACTGTTTGGTTTCTGCTTTTCAGCATTTCTACTTCCTAGAATTCTTTGAATGCCTTTCGGGATGAGGTCACTCTAGTTATTTCTGTTCCTGGTGTTTCGTTCTGTACTTTTTTCAAATCATTCTCTCATGGCTGCCTGGGTCAGAAGTGGGACTTTTGAAAGGGAAGGCATTGGGAAGAGAAGCTGAAGGACCTCTACTCTGGGAGACATTTGAAGACTTAGATTGCCTGGTAGGCCTTGAGAGGTTGGGCTTCAGCTGCCGTTGGGTCTTTCCGTTGCTGCTTCCGCTCTTTGCAGAACCTCAACCCGTGTGCTCAGCGCTGTCCACGGTAGAAGGGAAAGGTCAGATATGGAGCTCAAAGGGTTTCAACGAGGGGCAGAGCACAAGGAAGAATACAGGCAGTCCTCAATGTACGACCACAATTGAGCCCAAAATTTCTGCTGTTAAGTGAGACATTTGTCAAGTGAATTTTGTCCCATTTTACAATCTTTCTTCTCATAACTATGAAAAAGGGTCATAAGTCACTTTTTTCAGGACTGTTCTAACTCTGAATGGTCACTAAGCAAACTGTCATAAGTTGAGGACTACCCGTGTGGTACGTTTTGGTGATGTGCGATAAAGTTGGATTTCAGCCAAAGCGGAGACGAAATAAAATGACTATTTTCTCTTAAAAGATTTAAAGGAAGTGTAAGAAAAGGTGGTTCGGTGGCTAAGACTAAAATGGCTAAAATTAGGCGATGCGGTGGCTCAGTGGTTAAGATGCTAAGCTTGTCGATCAGAAGGTGAGCAGTTCAACAGTATGAATCCCTAGCGCCGCGTAACGGAGTGAGCTCCCATTACTTGTCCCAGCTTCTGCCAACCTAGGAGTTTGAAAGCATGTAAAAATG